TAGGGGGTAGAAGGAGGGGATTAATTAGTTTTCCTATGACATAAATAGATGGGAGTTCTGCAAATGTTCCCTTCCATCGATGCATGTGATCGTCCCAGCAAGCGGGTAATGACCAGTGGGAAAAGATACCCCAGTTGTATAGTCACAAGACATCACAAGACAATATATACATATCTATATACTATATATTTATTTATGATTGGATAAACACACATATTATATATATATATACATATATATATACCCAGTTCATTCTAGTTCTATCTGGATTGAAGATCACTTCGCAATTGTTTGCTGCACATCACTGCATTTTTACCAAGCTGCCGCACAACTGACCATGTCTTTCCTGCCCCACCGCTGGGCCAGGACGCGTTCATCAATATCAAATACATGATTCCCACATATGAGTGGAAGCCTCAGTTTCTGGTGCTAAACGTAGGGAATGGGAGAATGATCCAATCCTTAAAACTCTGAAAAGAGTCATCCCATTTACCCCATTCCCTACCAAGGACCAGTACGGTTTGCGTGGGGCAAAACCAAATGGAACTGGAGGTTTTGTCAAAGTCCAGTTGGGAGAATCGTTGATGCATTTTGGAAGTAGACTTTTCCATGCTTGTAAAAATTGGGAAAATAGATCGTGTGGTATGCCAGCACACAGCAGTTTTACCTTGTGGCAAGTACAGATTCCAGATGGTTTTATAATTGCATATTAGACTAATTACAACAACCTGTAATTACCATCAAAGACCTCACTGCCACTCATGGTTTAGACTGGAAAACCTCCAAAATCATGCTAAAGATCGACTTTCGAACCATACTAAATTGGCTATACATATCCATACATATATAAACAATACAACATACATACTTAAATATATACTTACATACATACATACATACATACATACATACATACATTGTTACATTGTTACATACATTGTTACATTGTTACATTGTTACATACATTGTTACATTGCTACATTGTTACATACATTGTTACATTGTTACATTGTTACATACATTGTTACATTGTTACATACATGGTTACATTATTACATACATTGTTACATTGCTACATACATTGTTACATTGCTACATACATTGTTACATTGTTACATACATTGTTACATACAAACATGAATACATTGTTACATACATACATGGATGCATACATACATACATGCATGCATACATACATACATGCATGCATGCATACATACATACATTGTTACATTGTTACATACATTGTTACATTGTTACATTGTTACATACATTGTTACATTGCTACATTGTTACATACATTGTTACATTGTTACATGGTTACATTATTACATACATTGTTACATTGTTACATACATGGTTACATTGTTACATACATTGTTACATTGCTACATACATTGTTACATTGCTACATACATTGTTGCATTGCTACATACATTGTTACATACAAACATGAATACATTGTTACATACATACATGGATGCATGCATACATACATACATGCATGCATACATACATACATGCATGCATACATACATACATGCATGCATGCATGCATGCATGCATGCATACATACATACATACATACAGACACACACACACACACATACACACACATACATACATACATGCATACATACATACATACCATATCATGTCATATCATTTAATTTCATATCATATCATATACATACATATTATATACATGTGTATCTATATATATATTATACTATATATTATGTATACATATACCCTATGTTATAGGCATAAATTTTCTATTTTTCTTGTTTCTTTCCTTGGCCACTTCGAAACGTTATCCCCGGCGCGTCCGCCGAGGTCGTGTATGTTGGGTTGAGACGGTTGAGATGTGCTCGGAGGCTACAGCTGGGGATGAAGAACAACCTGCAATTTTGTGGTGATTAATAGTGATTAATAGTGATTAAATAGTGATTAATAGTGATTAAATAGTGATTAAATAGTGATTAATAGTGATTAATAGTGATTAAATAGCGATTAAATAGTGATTAATAGTGATTAAATCGTGATTACAGTAAATAGTGATTAATAGTGATTAAATCGTGATTAAATAGTGATTAAATGGGGGTTTGCAGAAATGGGAGATACCCCAATAGCTGGATGGTGTATAATGGAAAATCCGAAAATCGCCGAAAATAACATGTATGATTTGGGGGTACCTCCATTTCAGGAAACCTCCAAATAGTGATTTAATAATGATTAACCTGATGGTGATAGGGTGATTTAATAGTGATGAAATCTTGCGATTGATGTGATCCATTCATTTATTATGTTCGTGTTATGCTGGGGTATTGATAGCCGAGTTTGATTTCTGGATTTTCCAGGCACTAATCCATGTATTTTCGGGTTAAATGGGGATTACCACTATGTCCACATTCATATCCCGCTGGAATTTAAGTTTTTAGAGTTTTTTTTGCAGTGGCTCCTGCTCCACATGCGCCACTTCGATTCTTCCTAGCTGGAAAGCTTGCGGGTTGCGCGCTTTGGCGCCATTTTGCGCGGCCCAGACGGTTCAGCAATAATATCTTCACTGCTTGGTCAGTCATCAGGTATTATTGTCATGGGTCAAGAAGGGGGGTACCTAACACAGAGATTGGGTCATTTTGGGTCAATCCTTTTGACGAATACCTGGCGGTATAGACAGTGGGTATTCCCGCAACAGGTGATGTTTGTAACGGAAAACAAGCGTCCTATGGTTGCTATATAAATCACAGTAAATTGAGTCCATGCTCTGCGATAGATCCACTGCAATGGATTGAACGTTTGTCACCGCTCACGAATTCTCAAAGCCTAGTATCTAGAAGCCGATGGGGCAATTCCTCAATAGCTGAAGCAACCAAAAACTGGGGGTCCATGTTTCAAGAACCTGGAACCTGATGTTGCAGAAAAAGTATAAACCATTATCCATTCAAGTCTGTGTGGATTCGGCGGAATTTTGGATCTGGCTTTGGCACATCATCCCATTCTGACTGCAACAATACCATACATAGCAAACTCAATGAAATATTTGAGTTTCAGGGTCTACCAAGCAAAAGAGCGAGCAGAGACTTCCTGTTGCTGAGAGCTCCAAAGGTTTTCCGCTTTGAAAAAAAGTTTTGTTGTGAACATGTCTTGCTGTTTGGGATTCTCAGGCAAAGATTCTTGGTAAAGTTCGCATTTGTTTCAATGAATCACGAGCTGTAATATTGCTGAACCAGGCCTGTTCAAAGGTTTCACCTGGATTCTTTGGACCAGCGCTGCAAGGGGTATTAACATGAACAACATGTACGCATCAGGACTCATGTAGTTCGGGGATGCAGAACAATGGTGGGTATCCATGGTTCTCGTACATCAACGACATTTCTGGCTGGTGGTCAGTTATTTGGCTCCAACCCAGCAACTCTAACAGTCACTGGAAGCTTCAAGGATCAAACAGAGTGCTAAGACATGCTAAGACTGGTGATTGTAAGATTGGTCTGGGAATGGAACACACCATATCACACCAAAAAACATGAAGTTTCAAGGTTTTAGTGCCATGCGCTTGATGATTCTCGATGCGATTCCCGCCATCCATGGCCTTGATTCTGGGGATGTTTGCATTTCTGCTTGACCGGATAATACTGGAATCATCCGAGGATTTACAATGAAACAACTTTCATATCTGTCATATCTGTCGGGATTCACTACCTATCAATCTATCCTAACCTGTCCTATGCTATTTTATCCTATCCATTCCTATCCTGTTTGTTTGTTTGTCTAGCTATCTAGCTATTTGTCATCTTTTTAGATATCCCATCCCGAAATTATCTGATGGCCATATCCACATTCCCAGTGCTGCGTCTCTGAAGTTTCCAACCACCCTCGAATGCGGCGCGGGCCGTGCTTTGGGTGCTCCGTTGCGCCCCACGAATGGACCGAGCCAGGTGGAAGGTGTCTTTGATCAACACAGGAGGCTGTTATTGAACCAGGAGAAATGGATAGAAATGATGTGCAAATCCATGAAAATCTACCATGAATGGATTGTCATTTCCATAGCATTTTGTAAAGGTTGACTAGAAGGTAGCCATCCCAAAATGGGGCGATCCAAGCTGGTGAATTTTCTTGGGCCCCAGATGTGAAAGCAGTAGTGCAATAATGTGAAGTATATCAGTATATCAATATATCATCCTTTTAATTGCATTTATATTGCATTTATATGCATTTGTATGACATTGTTTTATAATATTTTATATTTTATAATGTTTTATATGCATTTATAAGTGGAATACACATCCCTATCGCTGAGACCATTTGGCTAGCCTCCAAAGACTACAGGCGTTGAAACTTCAAGGTGGCCATATTCTTATTACAGATTGACCTTACACCAGGAAGCAGTCGAAACTATTCTGTAGATTCTATGATTCTTATTCCAATATATTTGAATTATCATATATTATATAGTTATATACCAGGTCACCCCTATACTGATGGTCAGTGGCAATGTGTCTGTTGTAAAACGACAACAGATCGACCCCACCCACCTGAGACCGACCTGGTCGCCTGGTTGCGCATTGCGCACCAGCAGGGGTGCACGCAGCGCCTACCGCGGCCATGCCGTTGGGTGCTGTGAACAGGGTCGAAGATCGATCCGGTCCACAGAACGCTACATGTTTGATGCAGGGAATCCTGCGGTGGAATCATTATAGCAATTGGTAAAGCATTTGGCGCTGGATTCTTGCTGAGAAATTGCCGTTTCAAAGATATATTGGACAAATTCTAGAACTATGTACTGCAATATGATCGTGTGTTTATGGTGATTTTGAGGGAAAATGAAGTAATTGACCTGACCAGTTGCTTATCCTAAAGGACCAAAATAATAATAAATCAAATTTGAATAAATGAATTTGAAAGAATCCTGTAAGTCCGAGGCTATTATTTGAATAATTTTCACAATCGGCAATTTTTGAAAAATATTATAGTTTCTTTCGGGAACCCCAACACTTGCATAATTCCCCACCTGCCAGGTGAGGGTCCCCAGATTTTATCACGAAAGGTAGCCTCCTAGCGGGCTACCTTGAGTTTTACTTTGCGAAGCAAAGGCTTGAACGACCAGGAGAAAGGGACCCCCACCCCCCTTTAGAGGGAACTCTTGCCATATGCCTGGTGAGTCTCTTCACGCAGCAGCCCCTTCGCAGTGTCTCGTCATCATCACCATCATCATCATCAACAACATCATCATCGTCATCATCATCATCATCCTCCTCATCACCATCATCATTCGACTTGACATTCGGATTTTTCGACATCCATTTTCCAAGTACCCAACGGTGCGATGAAAGTGACAGGTTCGAGCGTCCATAGGTACCGCAAAAAGAGATATTGGAGTTTGTGCTAACACTGACCGTGTTTTTTTTCCCCGCACGATGCGTGTGTCTGACAATGTCTACCTCCAAATGGCTATTTAAATGGACTAAATGATGAGCAACCATGGGCATCGTGGGGTGCTCTCTTTTCGGATCCAGATATCTCCGCTCTGCTCTGAATGTCCAGTTCCATGCCCCCCCCCAAGTGAACTCTCGTCACATGCCTTGTGCGTCTCTTCACGCAGCAGCCCCTTCGCAGTGTCTCATCAACAGCATCATCGTTATCATCCTCATCATTATCATTATCATTATTATCATCATCATCATCATCATCATCATTCGACTTGCAATTCGGAATTTTCGAAATCCATTTGCCACGTATCCAACGGTGCGAGGAACATGAACCCGGTCGTATGTCGGCTTTCGCACTGAATGATCCCCCGCGTCCCCTGTGACATAACTACCTTTCGTGTCACCCCTTCTCAAATCCAGATCTTAGTGGGCACTGCCGGACCTCAACCGCGAGCACCAGATCAAAATACCAAAATCTATCACATCAAGTTACCAAATACCAAAAAGAATGTCTTAATAAATACAAAATAAAATGCCAAAGAAAATATCAAAATAAATATTTAAAAAAATATTAAAATAAATACTAAATATAATGTTAAAATAAAATACAAAAAATAATATATATAAAATATTAAAATAAAATATAAAAATATATATTAGATATATATTTCCTCCGGGAATGTTTTATAAATTAAAAATTAAGGTAATTATATATATATATTATAAATACATTATTATTATAAAATATTGGATTTTTAATTTTATAAAATATTGAAATATTTAAATTTTATAATTAATATAAATAAATATAGGATTTTTTTAAAATTTAATTATGTAATAATATATTGGAAATAAATTTATTTTAAAGATACTAAATATTTGTATATTATTATTATTATATAAAACGGGATGCTTGTTGAAAAAATGGGCGCCCTTGTCGGAAACCCGATATTTGTAGCCGGAATTGATTTAATACATCATGTAATTGTGCTAAAAATTCTAAATTTTCCGGAAATTTCGTGATATATATATATATTTGAAATTATATATATAGATATTTGAGATATAATATATTGTATATATATTTTGTTTAATATTATATATATATGAATTCTTTATTTTAAATATAATATTGTTATTTTTGATATTTTGTATTTGATATTTTATAATGTATATATATTTATTTTTTTTGTGTTTTAATTATTTATTTTTTTTATAATATGATATTATTTTTTGGAATATATTATGTTTGATTTTTTTAATTTTTAAATAATTTGTATATTTATATTTTTTTAAATATTTTTTTGGGTCCTATATTTTAATTTTTTTATTTTTTTTGAAAAATTGAGGGTTTGGAATAATATATTATTTTATTTTTTTAATTATAATTATATATATATTTATTATAATATTTTAATATATATTCATGCATTGAGTTTGGCAGGCTTGGGTGTGCATGTGTCATCTTTAAGTGAGTCAATGAATGCTTTCATTTTGGCTCAAGTGGAGCTGAGCCAAAATAGCATTCATTGCTGTTTCTTTCCTGGCCCTGGTAAGGGGTGACCTTCCTAGACCTTGATTGAGCGGCTCACCACATCAATAACCAGGGGTGACCTGGTTGGTTACAAGCATCGTAAGGGGTGACCTGGTAGTTGCAAGGGGAGACCGTGCATGCAGCGTAAGCTTCGTGGGAGCGATATCCCGACGGCCACCGAGGCGTCGCTCCTCCATGCTGCTGCGTTCCTGGAGTTCAAGCAGCACGTGGCGAAGCGATGCATTCTTGCTGCAGCAGTTCTTGGAAGACGCCAGAAACGGTTTTTGTACACCTCCTCTGCGGCGAGCAGAGTTCCTCAGGGACATTGGCGGCCGGGCACATCGTCTTATCCTGCGCTGTGTGACCACCCAAAGTTCGGGGAAACAACGAGTCATCGACAACGGTGACACCGGAGGGCAATCAGACCTTTCTTCCGATGCCAACATGCTTACACTATGTAGTCGCCCATAAGCCTGGTTATGCGTCGTTGGTCTGAGGACGAGGTCGCCGAGTTTTGTCACCATGATGCCTGGGAGACAGGCTAAGAGGACCTGCCGTCTGCCTAAAGGTACTGCCCCATGTCAGCAGGAGAGCTTAGGCTGCGTTGTCGTCTGGTTTCACTGATGAGTGGCAAACTCCGGTATCCCAGGTCTATGCAGGCCTCTTGTTTAGGCTCCCCCTGGCAATCACTTCGTTCAACTGATTTTCCCAGACTGTTGGAAGCGCTGACTCGCTGGTATTGCCAAATTTTGACATCCCTGTACTTTAATGCCGCGATCACTGATGTCCGCTCTGCCAAGGGCTCCGGGCAATGGGCGATGAAACAACTATGCCTGATGATCGGATCTTTATTTGCGGAAGACAAAACGCAGACCATGCAGAGCACTGGCGCTTCTTTGGGACTTACCCATGACCTGAGTTGCATCAATAAGACAGGTCATCTTCGTTTTTGGGCCCGCACCAGACTCCATGGCAAAGTTCGTGATGTCTTGCCACAGCACGTCAAGCAGGCCACTTTACTCGAGGCACAGCTTCCAAACTTTATAGACTTGCAATCTTCTTGGAGCAAGGTATTTCTGGGCGAGTCGGGTATGGCGGTCTCATGGCCATCAAGGCACGCAACTGGAGCTCTCTATGGTGTTGTGCGCCTTGATCGAGCGCCCCGACCTTTTTCGACATCGACATGGTCTCTGGTTCCTCGACAACGTTGCCGCAGTCATGACCTTGGTGAGAGGGCGCTCTAGCAATTCGGGGTTAGCAAAGCTCGGCCATTTGATCCATTTGGCTCTGTTTGCACTGCGTGCCCAGCACTTGAGGGTTCCCAACACTTGCCATGCATATGAATTGACTTTTTAAGCGAGTTTCAGTTTCCAAGTAGGGGTGATCCTACTTCTGGAAACCTGGATATTTGCGATTTCAGCAGCGCTGGCTGCTGCTGGTTTTGACTTCCCCAAGCAAGCTGGGTGTCGGCAGTGGGCACAGAAATGTGGGCGTTTGCTGTTTCAAGCAAGTTGGGTTTCAAGCAGGAGGTGATCCTGCTTGGTGTGGCCGTACTTGCTTTCGTGACATATATTGGGGTCCAAGCGGGGGGGATCCTCCTTGATGGCGCCCAACACTTGCCATGAGTATTGCTTGGACCACAGGGGGAGTGACCACACGGCTGTGGGCCTCTGCGTTCTCAAGTAGGTTGGGTTTCAAGCAGGAGGTAACCCTACTTGGTATGGCCGTATTGCTTTAGGGGCATAGGGTTTGGGTCCAAGGGGGGGTGGTCCTACTTGAGGGTGCCCAACACCTGCCATGAATATGGCTTGAAGTTTTAAGAACAATTTCAGTTCCAAGTAGGGGTGATCCTGCTTCTGGGCAACTTGGTTTCTGGCCATTTCAGCAGCTGGAGGCTGTTGGTTACTTTGACTGCCCCAAGCAAGCTGGGTTTCCAAGTAGAGGTAACGCTACTTGAGGATCACAGGTTGCCCACTGGCACTGCCAGGGAGTGAACACAGGGCTGTGGGCCTCCGCTGTCTTAAGCAGGTTGGGTTTCAAGCAGGAGGTAATCCTATTTGGTGTGGCCGCACTTGCTTTCGTGACATAGTTTTGAGGTCCAAGTGGGGGCGATCCTACGTTTTGGTGCCCAGCACTTGCCATGAATCTGGCTCGAATTTTTAAGCGAATTTCAGCTACCAAGTAGGGGTGATCCTACTTCTGAGCACTTGTTTTTTTTTGCAAATTCAGCAGAACTGGAGGTTGTTGGGTCTGACTTCCCTCCAGGAGGCTGGGTTTCCAAGTAGAGGTGACGCTACTTGCAGGCCACAGGTTGCCCATCGACACTGCAAGGCAGTGACCAGAGGGTTGTGGGCCTCTGCTGTCTTAAGCAGGTTGGGTTCCAAGCAGGAGGTAATCCTACTTGGTGTGGCCTTACTTGCTGTAGCAACATAGGTCCGACGTCCAAGTGGGGATTATCCCACTTGAGGGTGCCCAGCAGTTGCCATGAGTATGGCTTGAATTGTTTAAGCGAATTTCAGTTTCCAAATAGGGGTGATCCTACTTCTGAAAACTGGATTTTTGCAATTTCAGCAGAGCTGGGGGCTGTTGGTTTTGACTTCCCCAAGCAAGCTGGGTGGCGGCGGTGAGCACAGAGATGTGGGCCTCTGCTGTCTTAAGCAGGTTGGGTTTCAAGCA